CAGAAGCAGGGACGAATTTATGCGTGTCTCGGGGATCACATAAAGTTGAATATTGTAAGAAAGAAGGGGACCAATGCATCCCAGCGGACTTCTCCAACGATGCTCCGCCAATTGAAATACCATTCGGGTATGCTATGATGTGCAGCAGGAACCTGGCGCACGCAGGTGCGAGAACTGGTCCAGACCAGCCTCCGGATGGAAGGCCACGGATCCACGTCTACTGCATGGACAAGACCGGCAGTACCTTCCCCGTCAGGCACGAGAAAAACTGGCTGCTGTCTGGCCCAGCCAGGGCCATCAAAGTGCCACACCAGCTCCTCCCTTAAGAGTAAGCCTATCAAGGCGGACCTCGCCGTCGCGCACTATATCGAGACGGACCCCACTCGGCTGGGGTAGCTGCCCATTTATAGCCCCCGTTATTCTCGGCTCTTTTATTTGCCCGTTCATATTTATCTGCATTTATTTAGATATTTATTTCCTATTTATTTCCTATTTATGGCGCAAATCTATGTTGGAACCATATGGCGCAAAATCTATGTTGGAACCAAGCCATAAGCCTTGTCGAGGACATGGTGAAAAATGGAGTCGCAAGTCTTGGTTCCATCATGCATTTCGCGAATCTACGTTGGAATCATATGGCGCAAAATCTATGTTGGAACCAAGCAATAAGCCTTGTCGAGGACATGGTGAAAAATGGAGTCGCAAGTCTTGGTTCCATCATGTATTTCGCGTCGAAGTCTTGGTTCCATCATCTATTTCATAAACTTTCTACGCGCACTAAGTAATGGGCGTGCGGGTTTTTAATCACCAGGGTATGGAGATGATCAAAGTGTCCATTGAGTGGTATTGGTTCAGGTAGCGTCGACAAAACCCGCATTAGATTGTTTCCATCATAGGCATGAATATTGGTTCCATCATGCTTTTCTCGACCACTTGGTTCCATCATACGATTAATCTATCCGATTGGTTCCATCTTAGCAATCGCCCATCTGAAAATCTCTATGCTTACCTGAACAATAGCTTCCGTAATCTGTCCCAAAAGGACAAATCTGAGTTGCTCTCAGCAGAGATGGAGAACATCAGGAAAATAAGCATGGGCTGCAAGTCCTACACTCTAGTTCAATGGGTTCTCAGTGTTCTGTGTGGTGGACAAGAGTCCATACTTCTACACTTGCAGGAGGCTTGATCTGAGATCAGCCCCCCCAGGCTTTGCTCGTTTTGTCAGATCTGGGCTAAAACGCGTCTTTCGCTAGCCGATGCAGCGGTTCCAGGACTTGGCGCGGCGCTCGGTCTGTGGACCTTGCCGCGCCTCGGGCCCGGGTGCGAGTCGCTCGGGAAAGACCATCGGTCGAAGGCGAGCAACTTAGTTCGCGTCGGGGCAGCCCGTGGATGACGAGAACGGCCGTTAATGGTGGGGGGCGACCGACGAGAGGCCCAACTTAGTTCCAGGGCTCGAGCGGGCCGCGGCATCTCGAGTAAACACCGCCTGGAATGTCCCTCCCGAGTGGCCTGTCAAGGTTGCCGCGGCCCGAACGCCGCATGCATTGCGCAGTGAGCGCCGTGTCACCCGCGGCGCCGCGCGCCTCCCGGAGCCGGTGAGGTGATCTCGATCAAATCGGCTCGAGCCGAAGGGCTGCCGCGAGGGCATCTGATCGCCCTCATGACGAACGATTCCCGACGCTCTGTGACTCGAAGGCGACCGAAATTCGGGTCGGGGGAAGCTGCCGCGCCCCATTCCACCCCCTGAGGCTGCCCGTTTGCGCCACCTCGCAATCGTCCGGATGTCGCGTCTTTTCATGTGCCTCACCCACATGTTTGCGGACCTCAAAGCCGCTGGGATCGTTGCACGTCGCTGCATATTCGAGGAGCACGGGGCCCTCTAAGGTGGAGATTCCATCAGCTGCCATAGCAGCTTCGAGCGCCTAACTAATCCAGATACTCGACGTCCTGCCGGGGATAAACGATGGTTCGACCGTAGAGCGGCAGGACGAGTACGGGACACGAAGCAAAAAAACGGGACAAACGCACGGAGCGACTCCTCAGACCCCCGGGGGTCGCGCCCTACCGGTGGGGTGCGTCCCAGGAGCCGCGGGGCCCGGAACTGACGCGCCTGGGGGGGTCGATTTCAAATCGAGCCAGGACTATCGTAAAGATGTACTCGACGCTACAACTGGAGCCTTCTCCGAATTTCCATTACTTGACCCCAACAACATCATGAAGTTTGTATATCAACTTAATGAGAAGACAGGGTCTATGTCAAATTATGACACCTATGCATACAGAACCAAGAAAGAGCTCATGCGAGAGGTCATTCCGGCCATGTGGCGTCATGTGAGTGCCGCACAATGGCAGAACTCCAGTGATGAACCAGCATCTGCCTTACATGAAAAGATCTTTAAAAGGATCAAAATCAAGAAGGACCTCACCAAGAGACTTTAATATCAATATGGACCCCGCCTTCCAAAATAATGTCGAAATGGACCTCACTTCAAAACAAAATATCAAAAGGGACCTCACCGTCCACCATTTTTGACCATCATTACCTGGAATTTAATGTCCCATCATATCGACGCGTCTTCCCATAATTAATACCAAGACGGACCTCACCTTCAAATTTTTGTTGTTTTTTCTTAGAGAAGGAGCGTGGTAGCGCACCACGTGCGTGGGGCCCCGCTTACATGGGGCGACACTCTCGTGGCCTGAGCTGCCTACTCTTCGTCGGAGTCGGGGTAAAGGCCGCTGGGCTTGAATTTGAAGTAGTCCTCGAGTGACCTCGAGCTACAGGGTGGTAAACTGATTAAATCCTACTTGGGCGTACTCGGGGAGGTGTCGGGCGACTTCCCCTTGCCCCCCGGCGAGTTCCTGGCACCGACTTTCTGGGCCGGTCGGTCGCCGCCGCCGCCGCCGCCGCCGCCGCCGCCGCCGTCGTCGTCGTCGTCGTCGTCGTCGTCGTCGTCGTCGCGCGCGCGGGGGAGATTAGAACCCAAGTCAGCCACAGGGCGACCACAGAGAGGCGATGAGTTGCCCCATATCAGCTGTCACGATATGTAAACCTGGAGCTGCAGAAATCGAGTGGGGGCGCGCCCCACAGTCGCAGTGATCGAAAATCTCGTCGCAGGACGCCGCCAGCAGGAGTTTTTGCGCTCCCGCCTCGTCGTCGCTAGCGCACGCGCGATTCGTACACCACCTAGCGCGAAACGGCACGGCGCCGGCGCATCACATCATCGATAGCGTTATCCGTCGGTCGAAACGAGGGGTCCGTCTCGAGCGGGGTCCGTCCTGATATTTTTGCGATCAGGAAATAAATTCCCCCTGCTTCACTCGCTATCGGCTGATTACGATTCAGCCGGCTGCGTGCACGCCCGTGCTCGGCTCCTGCGCCGCGTTGGGCGTCGTGGAGTGGTTCTACGGAACCGCAGACCCCGATTTCCTATGGCGAAGTGGTCTCACTTCTACCCCGCGTGGACTGGAACATGCCGAACGCGGCACGCGAAGTGGTGCGTCCATCGTCGAACGACCATTCGGATCCAAAGTCCGATGTGCGCGCAATGGTGGCATGGCAGCCTTTGTAGCCCCATATCTCAGCGAATACGCAGAGATGGACAACGATCTCAGTGGCTGCATGGACCACATCTTCACGCACGACGCGCCGGTGAAAACGGGACGTCCAGGCGCTTGCGTGGCGACTCAGTTGGGGCGGTTTTAGGGGCTGGGATGCGGCGCGCCGGACTTCCCCGACCCCTTTATGCTCGTCTTCGAGTCATTGCAGCACCAGGGATCGTTTGTCGTCACCCGCACATCGCCTGGATACAATGGCGGGGTCGAGAGAGTCGAAATCGTCGAGTTCGTCCGGCCGGCGCTCTGCGCCCGCGGTGGCCCGACGGGACACCGTGAAGGTCCACGGCAGCTCCGACGTCAGAGAGTGGATGGAGTCATTCGATGCCGTCTCTGGGCTATGCTCTAGCATCGCCACCGGCGGTAGTGCGGTCTGGAACCGCCGGGACCTCCTCTTCGCCCTCTCGACGCGGGGCAGCCCGAGTTTCGAGGCCGCAGACCACCGTGGCCGCCGCGCCCGTGGCCGCGCGTCCGCCCTGGGGACCGCCGTGACCTTGGGCGAGAGCGCCGGCACCGACTGCATGCCCAGGGGCGCGCATGGGCTGCGGTTTTGGGGCTGGAAACGCTCCAAGCGGCTCCATCGAACGCCAAAATCGTAATCCGCCGATCGCGGGAGCGGCAGGGGTAAAATCTCTAAATAAATGCAAATAAATATGAACGGGCAAATGGGGCCTATAACTGGGCAGCTACCCCGCTTACATGGGGCGACACTCTCGTGGCCTGAGCTGCCTACTCCTGGTTGGGGTCGGGGTAGAGTGTCTTGACGTCCCACTTGAAGTGGTCCGCGGCGATGATGTGCTTCATGGCCTCGGTGAACACTTCAGCGTCGTGTTGTGGAAAAGCTTCTTCCATGAACTCCTTGACCGGAGCCGAGGTGGCGAAGATGTCGACAATGAGTTTCTTGAAAAGGTCGCTCTTGCGTCCCTCCGGCATCAAAGTCTCTCGGATGTCGCGCTTTGTCGTTTCGACCAAAGCAGCGCGCGTCTCTGCGTCCATCCGCGCTTTCTTCGCACATTTGTACTCCTCCGATCGCCAGTAGCGCTTCGCCCCGCGGCATTCTGGCTCTTTGTCTTCAAGGCACGTTGGGCATATCCACTCGTTTGTCCATCGGTTCTCCCTAGCCTGGCAGCGAGATGCATGACAGAATGAAACCACGTGGTTCGCGCGCTCATGAATTGTGGGAAAAGCGTGCACTGTGCGCGAAAGCCCACCGCGTCGTTTTCGCGCAGGAGCTCGATGAGGTGTCCCATTTCCACGTGCATGTCGCACAGCTTGTGCTTTACGAGCCGAACGGGGTCCGTCTTGATATAATTGTGCGCCGGTGGGGCCCGTCTTGATATAATTGTGCCGCCCCGGGCGGGTCAATCTTTATTCGCTAATAAGGAGGGGGGGTGTTGCTCCGCCACTGGCGTCGGCGGCACCCCTGCGTGCGGAGCGGGGTGGTACATCTTACGCAACGTAAATGGCCTACCCCAGCCGTCACACCGACGTCGCACCCAAAACCAAGGGGCGTATCCAACGCCATCGATGGTGACGCGCTTCGCTGGCACGGACTTGTACGCCGCGGCAGCCCCGCGGAGACGAGGCCCGCGCGGTGGAATTTGGTCGACGCCAGAACCACCTCCGATGGGGGCACCGACGGTCAGGCTTACGCCTAGGGGTCATGGAAGGCCACTCCGACCACCAGAGCGGGCTGCCGTGCGTCGGAAGCTTGGGCTCAGAGGTCTCCGCTCCCGGCCCGCGCGTACGTGTTTGGTACTCAAGCCAGCGAAACGGCTAGCCATTCGTCCCAATCTGAGCGCTTGTTTTTGTCACGTATAGCCACCGGGCGTCCCTGGCCGCTAGCCAAAAACCGCACGTTCGGGCGTCCGACGCGTCGGCCATCGGACGCCGTCGCCGGAGCAAGACCCCCCATAATAAGGCCGCGTTAGTCTATCGTCTAGAGCGGCTTAGACGATGGTGGGCGTTTAGCGTGGAATCGCTGCCCCAGGACCTCCGGTGGGCTTCGCGACCCACCCGCTGTGCTAGCTCGGCCCGCCCGGGGCGTTCGGGGCCCCGCGGGCTGCGGGAAGGCGCCCCGTGCCGGGGCATTCAGCGCTGCTCGCAGCGCCCCGCGCGCGGCGTCTTCGTGTCGCTGCAAACGTGCGATTTCGCTGCCTCTGGCGTGCTCGTTTGTGTTTTCCGAGAGTGTGGAGGTAGGGTTGGGGCGCGGGTTGCCGGTTTTTTTTTTCGTGCGTCATGTCTTCGCCCGCAAAGAAGTCGAAGGTCGTTTGGATCGGAGAAAGCTACCGTCGAGACATGGACGAAGCTAAGGAACGTCTTGCGCGTATAATGGAGCAGCTGCGCGTGCGAGAAGCCTCCATCTGCTGCAGTAACAATGGGACCAAAAAAAGGAGTACGCCTCTTCCACCTTGTGGGCTCAATGCTCCTGAAAAATATGGGGATTTCGCCTACGAGTTTGGGTCGCACAACTTCACGTTTTTGCAACGGATCTACGCTATTAGTAATGGCAGATGCGGGTGCATCGGCGTGGATGGTGATCCGAGCATGTGTCCGCACGTGCTCTGTTCGTTCCGTGACTTTTGGTTGTACAAACGTCATTACTTCAAGCGTTGTCCGCCCGGTGTTTGTGTTTTTGCTGGGAATTGTTGCTCGTTTTCGCAGCAGTCAGAGGCACACCATGGTCGCTCGATAGACCTTGTGAATGGTGCTCCTCTTACGGAGGAGCAAGCGCGAAAGATTGAGTTTGGCAACGAGACGTTGATGTGGATAAGTTTGCTGATGATCGCCGCATGGCAGGTGAACCCGCTTTGCAAGGTGATCATGGAAATACCTGCGGGCTATGGCCCAAAGCAGCCCATTTGCAAGGATGTGTTTCATTCTATTTTTGGGCTTAAGAAAACTGCCCTCTGCAAATGCATGCTTTTTGGGACGCCTTATCGGAAGGAGATAGTCATATACAACAACTTGAAAAGCTGGCATGTAAATGACCTGCCTTATGAGGAGCGCATTTGCACGGCTTCTCATAGATGTCACCACTTTCCGCATAGAGAGACGTGCTGCGGTGTAGTGGCTCGCGAGAGTGCTGATTTTGGACTCGCGATGGCAGGTTCGCTCGCACGAGCGGCATACAAGGACCTGCTCCTTATAGACGATTCTCGGGGTAGTATGCAACTAGCGTAGATTCCGATACTCTAGTATAATAAGATCCGGGTTAACTCCCATTTGTTCCTATTGAACAGGCAGTCATCATGGGAGAAAGCACCCGAGCGTGATGATTCACGGCTGCGTTAGACGCTTCGCGTGTTCCATGAATTCACCAAAAGTAATGGCGCCTGCGCGCAAGGAAGCTGCCAGGGTTGCCATCTCTTCTGTGGCGTTGCCTGCTGCAGGTGCCGCGGCTGCAGGTGCTGCGGTTGCAGGTGCTGCGGTTGCAGGTGCTGCGGGTGCATGTGCTGCGGGTGCATGTGCTGCAGCTGCTAGCATCAGTGCAGCTGGAGCTGGTGCTGGTGCTGCCGGTGCAAAAAGAGCCGGAGGTGTTTGTGGAGGTGGAAACAGGGTCGGATTCTGGCCTTGCGGTTGTTTCTGGCCTTGCGATTGAGCTGGAGACCTCTGAGTATATTCCATGTAATGGAGGTGCTGTAATTTCGCTCGCTCCGCGTCTAACTTGGCCGCTTCTCTGTTCAATTTTTCCGAGATCGTCAGCCCCCATTCGATGGATTCTTTAGTTTGCTTAGCTCCTTTCTCGAACCATTCTTCTTTGAAACTGTTCGCCTGTGTGTCATTGGGGGTTTGAAGAGAAAGTAGTTTTTGATTTGTTTGTTGGTGTTGTTGTTGGAGTTCCTCGATCTGCCTCGCCTGCTGCTTGATCTTTTTCTGCTGCTCGAGCTGCTTCTCCTCCTTCGGCTTCTTCTCCTTGGGCTGCTTTGGAGCTCTAGGCGCTTTTCGCTTGCGCTGCTTTGCTTGAGTCGGCAAACTCTTCGCTTGTGCTGCTTTGCCAGCTCCTGTGTCCCAAACTTCTCTTGATTCCTGATCAGGCTCCTGATATTCTCGTCGGCAAAGTCTCGGCCGGGGTCGACGTGTGTCTAATAACAGGAGGTCGTTGATCTCTTCCGCTTGCTTGAGTTTGCTCTTGTGTTCACCTGGTGGTAAGAATAAGAAGAAGAAGAAAGAAGAAGTAGAATACCTGGTAATTTGCATTCCATTTTATTGGAGTATGTAGATATGAAAGAGGCGTATCGTGCGTCTCCCAACGCATCTCGTTTCGCTTTAATTTGTTTCGCATTGCTTTTGCTCTTCATGGCAAATACGGCTCTGATTTTACCTATAAGTCAGAAATCTAATATATATAAGATAATAAAACATGCATTCTTTTGATTTCAACATTGCTTTTAGGGAAATTGCTATGTTGGAACCAATAAGGGTGTATATATACTATGATGGAAACAAGTAGGGTATGAAATGCTATGATGGAACCAATCGTTATTCATGAATATGCATGAAGTCTAAGTTCATGACATGGTACGGTTCCATCGCTCTCTCGATATTGGTTCCATCATACATATTAACTCATATTGTTTCCATCATACATATGAGGATATTGATTCCATCATGCATATCCGAGCGTGTTGGTTCCATCTCGCTTTATGCAATATTAAGTATTGGTTCCATCATACATATTCGACAATGTTGTTTCCATAAATGTATTGGTTCCATCATACATATCCGCTGGTATTGGTTCCATCTTGCTTTCTGGACACTGGTTCCATCTTGCTTATAGGCATATTGGTTCCAGCATGCGTATGGAGATATTGATTCCATCATGCATATCCGCGGGTATTGGTTCCAGCATGCCATTCCGGATAATAATATATTAGGTATTGGTTCCATCTTGCTTATAGGCATATTGGTTCCAGCATGCGTATGGAGATCTTGATTCCATCATGCATATCCGCGGGTATTG